ATTTTCTTTAACAATATATTCTTAATGGAACAGTTTTTGGCAGCTCCCCTGCCCACCTGTGTCTATGCAGGCATCCTCTCCTTTCCTTTTTTTATATAATAAACCTGCCCTTTTGGGTATTAAAAAAACACATACTTTAGGGCCTCCCCGGTGGCGCAGCGGTTGAGCACTGGGTTGCGAGGCTGCCCGCAGCCTCTGCAGCGCCGGTTCGATCCCCGGCTGCTCCCCAGCCACCGGAGGAGGGTCCCACATGGCGCGCAGACCTCTCCTGCCGCCCGCTGCTTCCCTCAGCAGTGTACTTCGGTCCTTCTGCCTGCTCTGCTCCCCGCTCTGGCTCTGGTGAATTCTCTCACCCTCCCGCGCTTCTGACTGTACCCAGTGCTTGTATGTATCAACCAATCAATCAATAAATCTTTAAAAAAAAAAAAAAACACATACTTTAAATTCCTACTTAAACATTACTTTAACTGGCTCCGTGAGAAACTTAAACGATCAGGATATTCAGCTAAAGGGTCTTAATCTTTCCCTTACATATTTTTAGCAATGTCTCTTCTTTTTCAGTTTCCAGTTTCTCAGTATAGAAGTATTTAGTCCAAAGAAAGAAAGCTATGTATTCCTATAAACTATTCTTAGAACTTTAGAAATATTTAGCCCAATGAAACCCATTCTTCCTAAACTATATGTCACTATTACTACTATTATTTCTGAAGTATCCAAGTGCCTTTTAATAGTAGTTTTATGGTTCTTTACTCAAAGTAGTAAACACATTTATTTGCTCTAAAATTATTATTATCATGAAAAACTGATTGCTAGAACCACAAGTCAAAGCACTTTGGATGATTCATGTTTAATCTAGACGTACTTCCTTTTCTACAATCTCTCTAAATTAACACAGGAGAGCCTATGAATATTACAAAATATGGGGTTATTAGACCTTATATTAAAGTTAAGACTTTTTATGTAAATATTTTACAACAGATTTTTCAATGGCATTTTAGTGTTTCCATTCACATTTTCTCTAAAAATGCTCTACTAACTGGAGGGCCTGCAAATGAGGTAAACAAACAAAAGGTTGGCCAAATCTATAAACCATATTTGTCATTAATATCCTATAATTATTCTTAGAACCACACTTAGTCTCACCCTTCATTACTGTCAGATTCACAAGATTTCCAAAGAACCTCAAGAGGTGAAGCTTCTCACAATTGACTACCTCCATCATGCCTTTCTCCCCAAGACAATATACCACAACACCCCTGATCACTGCAAAAAATGTACTTCTACATTCACACTGCCTCTGAACCATTACCTGTTTTGTGGTATCAGCAAGTTTATTTGATAAACTCATCTGTGCTAATATTGTTGATAAAAGACAACAGTTTAAAGTTTCTTTTCCAGAGAATATAATTTTTGACAGAGGATTTGAGAAAGAAATCCATTAATACAAGAGAGACAAAGTTTGGCATTGGCAGTTCTTAATACCATATGCAATGTAAATCCAATTATAAGTTTAAATTAAAAATTGATGTAGAGATGCAATCAGTAGTGAATGTATGTCTGGCTTAGATATGTGCCTCATGGCAAATGTCAAGTGGAAACTAAAATTGCTACTGTATGGTTTTATTGTAAGTCCCATATCTGTTAAATGTTCTGATCTTCCATGTGGAGCAATGACTTCTTATAATCAATCCAGTTAAAAGGATTAGGGAACTTTTTTTTAAATTTTTTAAATTGTTTATTTATTTATTTATTTTTTAAGATTTATTTATTTATACAAGAACTGGGGTAAAGGCCAGAGACACGGGAGGGTGAGAAAATTCACCGAGAGAGGGGGGAGCAGAACAGGCAGATGGACCGAAGACACTGCTGAGGGGAGCAGCGGGGGAGACAGGAGAGGTCTGCTTTGCCATGTGGGTTTCTCCCTGGTGGGCCAGGAATTGAATCGGTGCTGCAAACCGTGAAGAGCCTCACAGCTCAGTACTCAACTCTCTGAGCCACCGGGGAGGCCCCCCAGGTCAGGTAACTAATCTACCCAAAGAATTAATCCACATTGGTCCTCCCTGGTGCCACAAGGGGTTAAGATGCAACCTATGAAGCTGTTTGCTGCAGCATGAGTTCGAGCCCCAGCCAGGGAGCTACCCACATGGCGCAGCATACCTCTCCTGACTCACCGGCTGCTCCCCTCAGCAATGTATTTCAGTAGATCTGACTGTTCTGCTCCCCACTCTGTCTCTGGTGAATCCTCTCACCATCCCCCCCCCACCCCACATCTCTGGCCTGCACCCAGCTCTTGTATGTATAAATAAATAAATCTTTTAAAAAAAAAAAAGGCCTCCCCAGTGGCGCAGCGGTTGAGCGCTGGGTTGCAAAGCTGCCCACAGCCTTTGCAGCACCAGTTCCATCCCTGGCTGCTCCCTGGCCACTGGAGGAGGGTCCCACATGGCGCGCAGACCTCTCCTGCCACCCGCTGCTCCCCTCAGCAGTGTATTTCGGTCCTTCTGCCTGGTTTACTCCCCACTCTGGTTTTGGTGAATTCTCTCACCCTCCCGCACTTCTGACTGTACCCAGTGCTTGTATTAAATAAATAAACAAACAAACAAATCTTTAAAAAAAATAGAATTTACTTTCACATCATGTGTAGGTCCTCTCAGCACTTAAGCAGACTTTGAGTCTTAAGACACTTAAGGTGTTTTCACAGTAACTTGGTAAATTATAAATATAACTAAATATTATTTATTTCACATTCTGACAAACCACTTTAATCTTTAATGCACTAATGCAAAGCAGTCTCCTATAACTAAGATAACTTAACACCATTTTATCCAATCTGCAATTAATCCTTTAGTTTTAATAACAGTCTAAGTACATCCTTTCTGAAAAACAGGTCCAAGATATTTTTTAAACAGATCTGGATGGATTCTGTTATATGATAATCTTGAGAAGAAACCTCGTGACCAGAAATATCAAACATGGTATTAACTAGATGAATTTGGGAAAGAGAGAACTTCACCAATTCTTAATTTCTCACCAACGATAAAAGAATAACATTACTAGCTCAAATGAAATGCCGGAGAGATACTATGTAGAAAAGATCATACTGGGTTTTTCTATACAATACTATATGAAATTTCTACACAACTACAAGTCCACAAATATTGATAATATACCAGTAAAGAGCTTTTATATACATCCTTTCAACCTAGACTAAAAAGAATATTAAAAGACTGCAGACACTGATTTAATTAAAACAATTTGGGAAAATTCTGGAATATAAATCTACATAATAAAGTGTGTTCTACAAGTCAAATTTTATTGAAAACATTAATGTTTTATAAGTTATCCCAAAAGGTCATAAAAACAGTCTACTCTAGACCAACAATTTATTTTACATCATTTTAACTCACATATTTGGCCCTATTTTTAAAATGCGTTAACAAATACACCATGCACTCATTTCTACTTCCCACCTCCCCCTCTTTTGGTCCTAGAATTACGAAATTCAACTCTATCCTAAAAGACTGCTCAATCTAAGAACTACATTTTGCTTTGACTTTCTTTATGACCTTGGAGGGGGGAGAGAAACCTACCAAGTGATGACTGTAATGATGTTTATGAGTTGCTATTTATTATTGAAATTTAATCCTCATCTCATGTTAACAATAGTGAAGTCTTCTAAACTACCTAAAGAATGGAAAACTTCAGTTATATGCATCAAAGATAAGCGACATGAAGCCTATTTTTAAAAATTTACTATTTAAAAAAAAAATTCTAAGGTCCCAAATTCAGCAAGATTGAAAAATAAATTCTGAAAAACACCAAGACCTATGGCTTTTCCTTCTAGACAACTGGCCTGCAATGGGGGGGGGGGGGGGGAGAAGGGGGAGGACCACTAAAACTAGTTTTAACTTGCCATTTCCTTGCTTTTATAATGACAACAGCTGGAGGACAGGCGAAAATTTAAAACTTGGCAAGGAACGGGCAGACGGTTATACAAAGAAATCTACAATCTGAAAATTACCAAGATAAGTTTGTTATTCAAGACACTAATTTGTATAACCCATGTATACAAATCACCTTGGCACTGTTTACTAGCATTAGAAAGATGCCTGCCTTGGAGGAACATCTACTAAGCACATTTCATTTCAGGATCTTAGGGCAGTTTACAAGCACTATCTCCTTAGGCATCCCTAAGGTACTCTAAAGTGCTTAACATCATTCACACATGCAGCCACCACTAGGGTGAAAAGTAAGTAAACACGATTTACTTATGCAATTATTTACCACAGAATTCTAGTCAAGAATGCAAAAGTAAACACCGATACAGGCATTCAATACCCAAAGAAAGCGTAGAATACCACGGCTCATAAGTCACTCTTAATTGATCACGGAAAAGAAAAAAAAAAAACAAAACACAGGGGCCAGAGGCCTTCCACATGTCTGTTCTTTACTACCGCTCTTGATCTGAAAAAGTAGTAACAACGTCAACTCGCTATTTTAACAGTACAGAAGATAAACACAAGTTAGTGAAATCTCTCCCTCCAGAGCCTCACAACATGTTTATAAAAAATTAAGAGCAACGCCCCCTAAAAAACACTCTCACTAAAAAAGAAGGAAATATCGAAAACCCGAGGTGAACCAAGATGAGAGAAGCTGACTGAACCCCATTACCTGCAGAGACCCCAGGGTGTGGGACCAGGAACGTGAGATCGGGGTGGGGGTGGGTAGCAAAGTGAAATCTAACCCCAGAAATCACAACACAGGCCGCAGCCTCGGAGCTGAAGCTGGCGGGAAGTGAGCTCCCTTTCTATTCTTAGGAGAAAGTCCAGAAAAGAGAGGCTCTCCCCAGCGGACATCCGAGGCGCCCATCGTGCATGCCTACCTCGGCGCCGGAGCCGCTGGAGGACCCGGTTGAGAAGGGGAGGAGATCCCGGCAGACGGCCCTGGAAGAGGAGGAGGACTAAGGTTAGGAGCAGCGGCAGCGTGTGGACGAGGGGGATTACCTAACTGTGACGACAGAGAAAGTGTCCTCAGGCTCCGGCGATGGTCCGGACTGCGCAACGTGTGGTGTCTTTCCCGCTTAGCCCGCAGCAGCAACACAACCAGCTCCTTCAGCCAGTCGCCATTTCCCGCCTACCGACCTGCTGCACCGCACGGACAGGGACCCGGATGGAAAGCGGCCTCTCCGCGCAGGCGCCTTGACGTCCTCCTCCCCCTCCCGCCACAATTCCGCGAGGCGGGAGGGAAGGAATGCGGCCGGCTACAGCTATGGGGGGGGGGAACCCCACAAAAACAACAACTTTTACTTCCGCGAAGAGCGGTGGCGTTCCTGCCGCCGGAAGAAACTCGGGAGGTGGAATTTCTCACAAAAATTGAACGCGAGGCCTTGACAAGGGATGGAGTAACGAGGACAAAACCTACGCGGCTACGCCGGGCCCCGCGGGATGTTTGTACTTCAGGAGCCGCCGTAGCCGCCTGTGGTGGTCGCAGGGGGAGTAGGGAGGCGAGCGTTGAGAGTGGAGAGGCGGGGACCCGGAGGACGGTTTTCCTCCCACTGCTAACGGAACGGCTGAGCCGGAGCTGGGAGGGGGAGTGCTCGCCCGGCCCGGAGGCGGGGCCAAGGAATGCGCCGCGCTCCCTGGCGGCGGGGCTGAGGGAGCCGGGCGCGCCGGGTGGGTGGAGCTGAGGGAGCTTGGGGCGGGGCTAACGGCTTGGCGCGCTGGAGGTGGCGTGTGGCCCCCGCGACCGTGGCCGAGGCGTCGCGGGTTAAGCGTCTTTTCTAGGAGCCTGGTGACCCCGGAAGGGCCGCTTTCCCGCACGGTTCCCAGAGGGCGCAGCGTTGTTCGTGGGTCTGCTGGGCGAGCCCGGGCTCTTGGACTCCACGTGAAGGCGGCAGCGGCTCTGCTAAGGAGTCGTATCGTCATGCAGACAAATGGGTTCCTGCCTGTGCAGGCCTGGGCCAAAGGAACAGTCCGCCTCAGGGGCTGCAAAAATGTGTCCATCTTGAACGTGCAGTCCTGGTGGAGTGTCGGAAAACCAAGCCTCGTAGCTGGGCGAGCATTGTGTTTACTCAAACTCTGCACCACTCTTATTATACAATCAAGAATTTATTGAAAAACTACAATGTGTTAAGAGCAGACTAGAGCTGGGGGTGTAGAAAGGTGAACAGGCAGACACGGACCCTGCCCTTACCGGAGTTCCGTCTGTTGAAGACAATTTAAATACGGTGTGATTAAATGACCAGGAGTTGTAAGAGCACAAGAGAGGTGTGAGAGAATCTTGGAAGGCTTTCATGAAATGATTTGTAAGTGAGAACAAGAAGGAAGAGTTGCTTTTACAGAGGAAGAACGCCTTAGGTAAAGAGAACAACGGATGGAAAAGTCCAAAAGGAGATTTCATTGAGCAGTTGGAGTAGTAGTTCTGGGCGCCTGGGACAGAGTAACTTGGGGAATGATAGCGGAGAGAAGGCTGAGAAGTGAGCAGAAAGCCCTGGTGACTCTGATTCTTTCTCGGTGTGGAGCCAGATGGGTGGTCTTCTGAAAGCCTTAATGCTACAGATCTATCAGACCTCAGCGTTCATTTGTACCCTAAAGCTTCCTTGTGAAAGAATGTTTTGAATGCGAGTTATCGAGAGCCTCCATGGCACACAGCTCGCAGAACTACAAAATAGTTCACAAAATAAGAGAGGCCTGAAAAAGTAGTTGGGAATCAACATCTGATTACCTGGTTACATCTTGGGAGGTAATAGAACATAAACTAAACAACCTAACTGATAGTAAAATGACTTTTAAATCAGGTAAGAATTGGAAATATTCCTGAGATATTCCTGAGATAGTCCGAGTAATAGTTTTTTCAAACCTTCAGTCTCCCAAAACTTTACATGTAAAGTGGCCCGTTCACAAAGCATTTTTATATACGTTTTGATTTTCCCAACAACTCCGTGAGAGAGGTGAAATAGATATATATTAGACCTCCACCCACTACTCTTCAGTTTAAGACACTGAAATTTAAAAAAAAAAAAGAAAAGTGGGAGGAAGCTAAGTGACAAATCCAAAGCAGCTAGTAAGATACACAACCAGAACTGGAGCTCTCCTTGTGCACAATATACCACATCCTACAGTCCCCTATGACAATGTTACTATTGGATGTTAGATTTAGAAAGGATGCTGATAGCCTAAATGCAACGTTTTTAACACCATTTTTTCACAAAGGATAAAGGGTGTTTTTCACCTTACTCATTAAAGAGTCAGTGGTCCCTTTTACTGGCCTCTTTTCTGCACTATAGTGGATTGTTGTGAAGATCAAATGAGATTATTTATGGAAAGTACTTAGCAAGGTGTTTTCCTTGCTCCTTAAATGGTAATTGTTAATGTCAAACTTTAGTTATAACAACCCTTTCCAAGATTTTAGAATAAAGGTCAAAAATACGAACTTCAAAAAAAAGTATGTATTTAGGTGCAAAGCAGTAGCCACAGGGGAAAAAAAATATTTTTCAAAGATTTATTTACTTATGCATACAAGAACTGGGGTATAGGCCAGATGTGCTGGGGCAGCGGGGAGGTGAGAGGATTCACCAGAGACAGAGTGGGGAGCAGAACAGAATAGGTAGATTGACTGAAATACACTGCTGAGGGGAGCAGTGGTGAGACAGGAGAAGTCTGTTGTGCCATGTGGGTTAGATCCCTGGCCAGAGATGGAACTTGTGTGCAGTGGCTGCAGATAGCTTCATAGTGCTGTTACTTAACCCCTTGCACCACCAGAGAGGCCCAGAAAGGAATATAATTTTAAAAAACTAATTACATGCATGCTTTTTAAATTATTCAAAACTATTGCTATATGAAAACATTAATGCAACAGGATGTCCACTAAGGAGTGCAATAAAAGTATCTTGGATCTTTCAGTAGGTTCCTATTTCAAAGTATATGTAGTGTATTTACCTTTTACCTGATAATAGAAGGCTGCAATATCTCATAATCCATTTCTATATTAATATTCTATCTCTATGAGTTATATATTTTTATCACTTGTTGCAATACACTAATAAATATTGAAATATTGTAGCTGTCATTTTGCTCGAATATTGTAATCACTTGATGGCAATGACCATCTGAAACTTAACATTCAAAACAAAACTCTTTTCAACTTGCTCTCAGTGTTCTCCATTTTGTAGAATAGAGTTATTCCCCACATTTCTAATATTCGATCCATTGCAAGTCCAATAAACTTACCTTCAAAATATATCCTGAATCCAAACACTTAGCTATCTCCTAGTTCAAGAACCATCATTTCTCACCTAGAATACTGTAAAAACTGTTGAAAGGTTTTTTGGTTATTGGGTTTTTTAGATTGTATTTTTTATATTATTTTTTAAAAATTTTTACATACATCATGTTCATTTTTAAACAATATTTGCTTCCCCCCACCCTCTCAGGTGTAGTCCTCATAGGGTTTCCTTCCCCAATGCACCCGTGCACCATCGCCTCAGTCCACTATGCTCCTCTCTCCCTCCCTCTGATCCCTCTCCCTCCTCCTCCCCAGCAGTGTGTCTCTGGTTTATAATTGTCCATTTTTGCTTTGTTGTGTTTTGTACTGTTTTTTTTTTTTTTTTTTACACTGTTGTCTTATTTGGTTCCCCTCTAGTCCTACTATAAGTGAAACCATGGATATTTTCTTTTTCCTTCGGGCTTATTTCACTCAGCATAATTCCTTCTAGCTCCATCTAGTTGCTGCGAATGGCATGTGGTTAGTTTTTTTTTTTTTTGATTGCTGAGTAATATTCCATTGTGTATATGTACCACATCTTCTTGACCAGTCATCTATTTTTGGGCATTTGGGTTGTTTCCAGGTTTTACCTATTGTAAATAGTGCTGCAGTAAACATAGGGGTGCACGCGTTCTTTTGAATCAGTGTTTTTGTGTCCTTTGGGTAGATCCCTAGGAATGGAATTGCTGGGTCATGTGGTAGCTCCATTTTTAGTAGACTGAGGAACCTCCAGATAGCTTTCCATAGTGGTTGGACCACTTTGCACTCCCACCAGCAATATAGGAGAGTTCATTTTCACCAATCCTCGCCAACATTTGTTGTTGCTTGTTTTTTAATGTGTGCCATTCTTACTGGTGTAAGGTGGTATCTCAATGTGGTTTTAATTTGCATTTCCCTGATTAAAGGGGATGTTGAACATTTTTTATATGCCTGTTGGCCATTTGTATTTCCTCTTTGGAGAAATGTCTTAAGTTCTTCTGCCCAGTTCTTGACTGGATTGTTTATTTTGTTTTTGTTGAGCCATGTGAGTTCTTTGTATATCTTTGTGTGATCAGTCCCTTATCAGTTGACTGGAGTGTAAAGATTTTTTCCCAAACAGTGGGGTGTGTCTCTGTTTTGGTTAATGTCTCCTTTACTGTGCAGAAGCTTTTCAGTTTGATGTAATCCCAGGTGTTTATCTTTTCCTTGACTTTCTTTGCTTTGGGTGATGAGTCTTTAAAGATGTTATTGCAATGTATGTCTTGTAGTAAAACTGTTAAAATTTTCATGTTTTACTCTTGAATCTCCTTCAGTCTTTCCAACATAGCAGCCAGAATATGTTAAACCTTTTTAAATTTTCCATCATCTTATTATGACACACAAGGCCCCTCTTCAGCTATCTCACTGACTACAGTCTTTGCCTCTTGCTTTTTGTACTCCATTTATATTGGACAAACAAACTGTCCTTTTGAAAAGTGTTTTCCTGTTTTGTATTTGTTATTCCTTGTGCCTTCATTCTCTTCCCCTAGGCCTGGGCCATTTAATAACCACTAGCCAGTAGCCACATGTAGCTACTTAGCACTAGAAATGTGACTACATGTGACTGAGGAACTTAATTTTTAATTTTAATTAATTAAAAAATTAATACTTGAATAACTGTTTAACAGGGCTTTTATTTGGAGTGATGAAAAACCACTAGATAGTGGTGATGGTTACACAACATTGTGAATGTACTTAATGTTACTCAGTTATGCAATTTAAATGTAAAAGTACAATTTTATGTGTATTTTGCTATAACACAAAAATCACTCTTGGTATTTACCCAAATGAGTTGAAAATTTATGTCCATACAAAACCTGCACATGAATGTTTATAGCAGCTTTATTCATAATGGAGTATCATTCACATAAAAAGAAATGAGGTATCAAGCCTTGAAAAGACACAGGGGAATCTTAAATGCATATTACCAAGTAAAAGAAGCCAATCTGAAAAGGTTACATACTATATTATACCAAATATGTAACTTTCTGGAAAAAATTAAACTTTGGAGACAATAAAAATATCAGTGATTGCTGGGGTTTAGGGGTAAGGAAAGAGAAATCAATGGAAGACAAGGGATTTTTTTAGGGCAGTGAAACTATTCTGTGTGGTATTATAATGGTGGACACATGAAATTATATATTTGTTTACACCCATAGAATATACAACAAAAAGTGTGAATCCTAGTGTAAACTGAGCAGTTTCATTGATAACGATGTATCAATGTTGATGTTGGCTTATCAATTTTAATGATTCTACCCTGTTGTAGGATGTTGATGGTGGGGAAAGGGATATGTGTGTGTGTGTGTGTGTGTGTGTGTGTGTGTGTGTGTATAGGAATGAGGTATGTGGTGACTCCATACTTTATTTTTTTTTTAAATAGCATATTTTTTCCTTTCTTTGTAAACATTTATTTATTTATACAAAAACTGGGATACAGGCCAGAGGTGCGGGGGGTAATGGATTCACCATAGACAGAGTGGGGAGCAGAACAGGCAGACTGACCAAAATACACTGTTGAGGGGAGCAGCAGGCCAGGAGAGGTCTGCCACACCATGTGGGTATCTCCCCCAATGACTGGGATCGAACCTGCACTGCAAAGGCTGCGGACAGCTTCACAACACAGCACTCAACCGCCTGTGCCACCAGGGAGGTCCAATACTTTCTTCAGTTTTACTATGAAACTAAAAATGTCCTAAGTAAAGGTCTTTGAAAATTCAGTAATACTTGATTCAGCTATTAGATTTTAAGTATGCTTGGAGCATGAGTATGTAAATACACTTATTCAACAGTAAATTTTTATGAACTCTAAATACCAATCAAATACTTCTCATGGGGGCCTTCCTGGTGGTGCAAGGGGTTAAGTATCAGCACTATGAAGCAATCCACAGCTACTGCAGCAGCAGTTAGCTCTGATGCAAGGGAGCTAATCCACATGGGGCAGCAGACCTCTCCTGTCTCACCACTACTCCCCTCAGCAGAGTATTTCAGTCAATCTGCCTGTTCTGCTCCACACTCTACCTCTGGTGAAACCTCTCACCCACCATACCCCAGTGCTTCTATGCATGAATAAATAATCTTAAAAAAAAAAAAGAGAAACAGCACTATATCATTACTGTTCCTGTATTCTGATTTACTTTTCTCGTATCACTTTACTCTATCATATAATAACTACAGGAAAAAATTCTATCTCCGTTAGGCATTTAAATTCTGTGAAGAAGCGGGCTTTGTCTCTGCTTTTTTTTTTTTTTTCTTTTTTGGCGTAGAACTGGCGTGTATGCTAGAGGTGTGGGGCGGGGAGGGGAGGTGTGGGTTGCTCCCTGGATGGCTGGGGATTGAACTCATGCTGCAGAGGCTGCGGATTGCTTCTTGGTGCTGTGCTTAACCCCTTGAGCCACCAGGGAGGTCCTATGCCAACAATTCTTGACCTCTGGCATCATTGTTCTATTCTCAATTCTGTAGCAAGTTACCACATAAGCATCAAGGGTCTTACTCTGATTATATACAGACACCTTTCAGCCATGGACTTGTGGGGACACCTCTGATGAGGACTCTCTGGTGCCATAGTTTCCAACTGCTTTAATTGCTCCCCACTATGATCAGTCTTCTCAATTCAGCACTTCAGCTCTTTTTTTTTTAAAGATTTATTTTATTTATTTTTACAGGCACTGGGTACAGTCAGAAGCGCGGGAGGGTGAGAGAATTCACCAGAGCCAGAGTGGGGAGCAGAGCAGGCAGAAAGATCGAAGTACACTGCTGAGGGGAGCAGCGGGCGGCAGGAGAGGTCTGCGTCCAATCGGCGCTGCAGAGGCTGCAGGCAGCTTCGCAACCCAGCGCTCAACTGCTGCACCACCGGGGAGGCCCTGCAGCACTTCAGCTCTTTATACTCAAGGCAGTTGTGTGATTATGGAGCTCAACTGCTTAAATTTCCCTTCAGAAAATTTCCTTTCAGAAAATTTATATTGTCTGAAAACAGTTGCTTAACATATCTTGTCCAGTTTTATAGTTGCTTTTAATCCAGGAGGATTAGTCAAGTTACTCAATCATAACCAAATGCAAAAGACTTCCCTCAGATATTTTGAAGTGAAACTGAAGAAAGAGGAGGTGACCTTTTCAGGTGGCAAAACTAAGAAAGTAAGATCTGCTAGAAGTTTTGGTTAAAGCTTTAGGGGGAAGTTGGTTGAGAGAATGAAGGTAGTAGCAAGTAGAAAGAAGTAGAAATAGGAGTTGGTGCAACAAAGTTGGCAGAATTTAAGACTTTGTTTCAACTGTCCTCAAATTCAGGAGATTCAGAAGATTTTTGTCCTTTAGTTTGGACCAGTAAATTTCCCTTTTTTTGGAATAGTTTATTGCATTTTAATTTGGGAACTGTAGTAATATTGATGGCCCAGATTTGATGTTAAAATTCAATAATCTAGACTTTGGAAAAATTAATGTTAATGTCACACTATCTTATTGGAACCATGAGGTCAGACGTGTGAAAGAATCAGTTTCCCAGGTCAGTCATTATGGGAAGTAACTATCCTTTAGAATTATTTTTTTTAACATTCTTTATCCTTATAATCCAGCAAATTTAGTATTATAGAATTAATCTATTGAGAAGACAAAAAGGCACATAATCTTAAGATTTTTTTCAAGCACCTTAGAGATTAGAATCTTGGAACTTTTATTTTTAATAGCTTATCACTATTTAAAATTAGTTGGTTCATGTGTTTACTTGTATATTGTCTGACTGCTCCCACTTGAATGTAAGCGCCACGAGAACAGAAACCTGGTCTATTATCAACTACAGTATTCTTACTACTTAGAGCAATGCTGGGTACGTAGGAAGCAACCAATGTTTGTTAAATAAACTAGCCCTAGTGTAAACATTCCTGCCATTTTAGTTTAACTTAAAATGAATTCTAGATTTACTCAGATTTTGGCATTGAAATGTAACTATTTGCATCACATGAGGGTGAGTGTGTGTGTGTGTGTATGTGTGTGCGTGCGTATATAAACATTTATATATATATATACACACACACCAGATTCAGCAGAAAAGTTGAAACAAGTTTAATTTTTAATTTATTAGAACCCAGTAAGTGATGATTTTAAAAGCAGAGTTTCCATCAAATTAACACTTAATTCAGGGCAAAAATACATTAAAAAAACCTAAATCTTAAGGCAGAAGTAAAACATTATAAAACCAGCATGTCTAATAAAGACTGCAGAATGTCAGAATTTTAAGAGTCACATATTTTATAGTGCTAAAGTGTTAATACAGTCAGAAATATTATCAATTGGTCCAAGATTTCTCAATTTATAAAATGTCTAGACTGCTAATTCAAATTTTGCTGTGTAAGTAATAGCTTCCAAAAAAAAAAAAAAAAGTAATAGCTTCCATAGAGACATGTGATTTTTATGACAAAGGAACTAAGGCAGAAAATTTTATGATTTTCATTTGTAAAGATTTTACAGTATTAAATATAAAGTATTATTAGGAGTAATTTTTAGATTCACCTTCTCATCCTAATGCCTAAAAGATGTACATCAATTCTCTTTAACTCCATGTTTAAAAATTTTGTGAAATACCATAACTACTCATTGTAGGCCTGACTCTACCATTAGCAAAGGCATGAGTTGCTTACTTCGATACAGTGGGAAAAACAATTTCACCAAATCACTACATCTTTTCAAACTAAAGTCTAATAATTTTTCACCTTCAATAAATGAACAATCTGTTTTGCTTTACCTCTATAAGTTTGAATTTTTACTAGAACCTGTGTATAGAAAGAAAAAAAAATCACGTTTATACACAGCTAATAACTTAAAAATTTCTCCTTGTGATCAAAGCCTTTTATTGGGGGGTCAGGGAAGGGACTTAAATGTTTTAAATCAGAACACAAGAATTAGCTAGCTTATATATTCTACTGAATAGTGTCAAGACAAATGTGTTTCAAATAATTTTGTAAGTCTAGCAAATAAGAGGTTTATGGGTTCTTAACTAACATTAAGTAATTACAAAGATTCTTCATCTTTATTACAAACTTTTAAGCTATTTTAATAAAATGCTATAGACCTCATCACAGTACTCTATTCATCTGTGCATTAATAAAAATCTGTTAAAACTTCTTACTTAGTACTTCTGAAACAGTCTAGTCAAATAAGAACACAAAAACTACCAGAGAGGCTAGTTTTACTGACTAGATTTACCAATTATAGATTCATTTCAAAGTTGATTTAGCTAGCCTCTTTCAGAATCTGACATTTAAATAATGAATACCCTCATCAACTTGAACTCTGAAAATATAAAAATTTTAGCCAGTTCTAGTTACACAATACTGGTATTATGTGGGGGGGAAACCTGAAAATATATTGTCAATCATGCATTTCACAATTTCATGGACTAAAATAAGTCATATATATTGTTATGTCTTTGCAGGTTATCTCATGTTCCATTAGGCCTCAGCTGAAACCCTATCTGCCAAAACACATCAGTACTCATGTAAAACAAAAGTAGGGAAGTGATTTTGCACATATGATGCCCAGTGTTTGCTTCCAGGTTCCCCTCTTATTTAACTATTCTCAGTATAACTCCTTGAAGATCATGAGAAGAGGGACAAATTGTACAGAACACCTGTTGAGCTAACAAGAATATGTTAGTATGTGAAAATTTTTCTCAGTGGAGGAACTGTTCTCACTGTGGTTATGCTATGCACAACATATAAACTGTACAACCATTTTTTCCTATTTGTCTATTTGTGGAAAGAATTAGCCTCAATAAAATGTAAAATATACATTAATTTGCTTTAAATGCAAAGGTTACAGTTTTGCTTACTTTGTTTTTGGCTCAACTGTATAATAACCAAAAAGTCTCTTCTTTGATAATACAATATGAAAAAGTTCACATATGTACATGGGTACATTTCTTCATTAAAATTTTTCCTTAAATCTATGTCAATGTATCTTTACAACTGATACAACTGATCTTTACAACAAAAGTCAAAAACAATATAGTAGAAATGATTCCATTTTACAGCACTTTAGGTTTTACGAAGTTTTCCTGTAGGGTTCAAAGGACATCATTGAAACGTTGCTTTCCATAGTCTGCAGGATCCATTTGAAGTTCTCGTTCTTCATCATCTGTAAAGGAAATAATTATGTATCAAGAATATTGTTTTTTAAATCACTTGCCTCATTCTCAGTCTTAAGGTAGTTTTCTGTTTGCTATTTTATGCCTTCTACAAATAGAGTTCTATTTGTTAGTTGCTTCTCTATAGAGGGAAAAGTGTAACTATTTTGGAAGATTGCTTAATTTTAATAACTTTTGATGACAGGAAGGAAGAAAAGAAGAAGAATGGAAGAAGAGCTAGAGAGTAAAACTTCAGGAAGCCACAAACATTGAGGAGTTTGATCCTTTTATATGAATATAATGTTAATATATAGATGAAGATTAGTCTTTCAAATTAAAACTTTGGTAGAAACTTATAGATACATTTTCATGCCTTTAAAATCAATTTTTTAATTGTAAAATTAATCCATCTTCTGAATTTCTAAATAAGTTTAGAAAATAAATTTTCTAAATTTTACATAGTCACCATGTAATTTTACATAGTCACCATGTAAAATTTAGAAAATAAGTTACCCATAATCCCAAGATATAACATTTTTAGAAATTTTGTTTCTCTGCAGAGCTTACCAGTAACTTCCTAAAAAGAATATTTGAACCAAAACTTAATCTGTTCTTTACCAAAAGAAGAGTTATTACATTATATTGTTAGAGAGTAAGAACCTCAGAGTCACTTTGAATGGTAATAGTAAACGACCCCATATTTGAGTGTGACTTTTTGGCTATTAGCAGGTTTTTCTGGCTCCTTGACTATCAGCTGTCATTTCACATTAAAAACTTTTCCTTCTTGTTTTAACATATTTTTTAATACTTTGACCAGTCTTATTTCAAAAACTATACAGCAAAATTAGAAGAACTACTATCTGCAGGTAAACTGACAGTAAATACTAAGTATGTGTATTTGTACTATGTGATATATATGCTATATATTAACTTTCCATAAGATGTTATTTCTTCTTTACATTTATTCATAAAAAAGGGCAAAACAACATTTTCTTGCCTTTTGATAACTTTCTTGTTAAACTTACAGAAATTCTTATTTAGAATTGCAGACCATTTTTCATCATATTCTAACAGAGTGATATCTTTAATAGTGTAGTTCACTAGGTATGACAGTGCCAAATCTGTCATGTGTAAAGGTTGAAATTATATTCATAATCACTTGTATTTTAAAAATATGCTGATAAATCTCTTATCAGAGGACTCCTTTGTAACTTTAAAAAATTATCATTCTTTTTTTTTTTAAAGATTTATTTATTTATACAAGAACCAGGGTACAGGTCAGAGGCACGGGAGGGTGAGAGAATTCACCAGAGAGACGGGGGAGCAGAACAGGCAGATGGACCTAAGACACTGCTGAGGGGAGCAGCGGGCAAGACAGGAGAGGTCTGCCATGCCATGTGGGTTTCTCCCTGGTCGGCCGGGAATTGAACCTGCGCTGCAGAGGCTGTGGACAGCTTAACAGCATGGCGCTCAACCCATTGCGCCACCGGGGAGCCCCTATCTTTCATTTTTAAAAAGAAAATAATCATTGGCATCTCTCCAGAAAGCACTCACTAGGATTCATGTTTTGGGACTTCCTATACAGATATAAACACAGCCTTTTTTTTTTTTTTAAAGATGTATTTATCCATGCATACAAGAACCGAGGTATGGGCCAGATATGTGAGAGGGTGAGAGGATTCACCAGAGACAGCGTGGGGAACAGAACAGGCAGACTGACTGAAATACACTGCTGAGGAGAGCAGCAGGTGAGACAGGAGAGGTCTGCTGCACCATGTGGGTATCTCTGTGGCTGGCTGGGATCAAACCCATAACGCAGAGGATGTGGACAGCTTCACAGAGCTGTGCTCAACCACCTGTGCCACCAGGGAGGCCCTGTATATAAACACATCTTTCAGGACTTCACTAATTAAATGAATACCCAATTACCATGAAGCATTGGAAAAACCTACTTACATATATGAAGGAGAATTTCTAGAAAAGTAATAGGAAATTTATTGAAGGAAAACTACTGCTACTTTTTGGGATTTTTAAATGAATAAGAATAAAGAGAAAACAAGGTAATAGTAAAGATCTAGGAATAGAAAAATTGAATTATACTCCTGATTCAGACACTTAACAAACCAAATATATTTCCTACGCCTCTTTGGACCTTCTCAGTACAATAGGGCTATCAACTGCTTTTCCTGCCTCAAAAAAAAAAAGTGTCTGATGGCAGTCTTTACTTCCAAAGTCCTATAAATATAAGGAGGAGTTTGTAAGGAGGAGTTGGTTGGTTTTGTTAACTTACGCTACTTAGCAAAGTTTTAATATGGTGCCTTCATATTGTTTTTCAGAAGTATAAAAGACAAAAGCAATAGTGCATTCTTCTTACATTGAACTATCATTTACATTAACTAGAGTCCATTTTCAGTGTATCTGATACCAGAATTCAAGTTTCTACCAACAATTTTTGTAACAAAGTATGATGAAATTACCTAACCAAATCTGACACAGAATAACAGATAATGACTAAATATTATTATATGGGCTAATATTTTACAAAACAGCAAAGTCTACAAATAGCTCATCAACATAAAATAATTATTAAAGGAAATAAAATATAGACATTCATAATTTATTACATAATTCCTAAAATCCTTCAAGTCAAGAAAGGATCACTCCGTAAAGCAAGCCCTACCAAACATAGACATTAATCCATAGACCAAGTGCAATTATCCACTAAAGCAAGCAACCCAGAGGAAAAAATTCTAGATTTGCATTTACTTATTATTATTAAACAATTACACAGTGCTTGCTTACTATGTGACAGACCCTGATCTAAGTGCCAAATATTCAAATCATATAATCTACATAACAACTGTTGAATTGAGTAACTATATTTATCCCTATTTTACAGAGGAGCAAATAAAGGTATAGAAGTCAGGTAATTCACAACATCACATAGGTAGTAAGTGGTGGAGCTAGAATTCAATTTCAGGCAGTCTGGCTCCAGATTCCAGGGGATTAAGCACTATGTTAAGCTCCCTTCCATTGACATTCTTTGTAGTATTTATGCATTTCATATTCTGTTAAACAAATTTGGAACTTCTATGAATTAAAAATACAAGTAAAGGGAATCTGTAAACATACATTGCCTTATTATAATAAAGAACGAATTAAAAGATATCCATCATATGTGTAGTGTTTGCAGTGTTAATTTTTAGTTTATCTTTGTATTGAGTAATTAAAAGTCAGAGGTTTTTACACAAATGTAAATAAAATAATATTTCTTTTAGGATGCTTCAGGAATCAAGGGATTAAAAATAAAAATAAACCAGTATTGTACACAGGAAAAACAGGCTTCACTAATTCTAAAAGAAAACACAAATTCTAATCTACAGGTAGTGCTGCCCAAGTGACCTATACATACAGTCATCAGAAAGATAAACCTGGAATCCTCCATTTGGCAGAAATGTTGTCAAAGCCTCTATTTCATAATTCTGATTTTCAGAGACCAAAGCGATGTGTCCCTAATTGATGCCAGAACCTCAGTCCTGTAGCCGGAGTTTCTAATCCTAGGAACCTGACAGCTTGGTGGGGGAGGGGGAGGGGACAACACCAGGGAGAACAAAGAGCTTCTACTGCTAGAACCCTAACAGTGCTTCTGAAGCATATGCTTCAAATTTTTAAAAAAGATTTATTTATTTATATATACAAGAACTGGAGTGTAGGCCAAAGTGCAGAGGAGGGTGTGTGAGAGGATTCACCAGAGACAGAGTGGGAAGCAGAACAGGCAGATCTACTGAAATACACTACTAAGGGGAGCAGCGAGCAAGACAGGAGAGGTCTGCTGCATCATGTGGGTCACGTCCCTGGGGCGGGGAGGGGATCAAAAGAACTCCTGCTGCAGTGGCTGTGGACAGCTTGATTGCTCTGTGTCTTTAACCCCTGCGCCACCAGGGAGGCCCCAATATATGCTTCAATTTTTGATATCTCTGGCTGTAGAGTCTCAATGACAGCAGTCAAATTTCTATTTTCTCTCCTGAGTTTGGGGAAAGATGTGTTTCAGGCAGGCAGAAATCTGAAACAATTTCCCATAGTAGTACTTGTATTATATATATATAGTGATTCCACTGTGAATGTGACCATAGAATTTTAGAACTGAGAAGAACCATTTATTCTAGCTTAACATTCTCACATTAGATGAAGAAATTGTGCTCACAGTGTTTAAGGGACTTGAAAAGCAATACACATCTGGCCTCCTAACTCTCCTAACTCTCAGGCTAATTTTTTTTCTATTCTATTTCAGTGACTGCTTTGACAAGTGCAAACTGGCCGAGGAACTCAACCATTATATCTACATTGAAGCTATAAAGAAATCTTTTAAATACCAAATATTCTAACAATAATAAACTTTTGGAGCAGCAGCTTGTTGACAAAATGAGGAACAGCTACAATTCACTCTCCCAGCATTTTGGACAGTTAATACCATACCTAAAGAATATCTGAAAATATGTTTAAAATCATTTGGGTCCCACTGTTCTTTCGGTCACTTCACCTAAACTTATCCCCTTCATTTACTGGAGCTTATGTTTTCACATTTTTCCACTGATACAGGATATCATTTCCTATGATAAGGGAGTCTCCTTAGTAGCTGCCCTATCCTGCTAAAATCCAGAGAGCTTCAAAGTGGGTTAAATAAAGGGCCTCCCTGGTGGCGCAGAGGTTGAGCGCTGGGTTGTGAAGCTGCCCGCGGCCTCTGCGGCGCCGGTTCGATCCCCGGCTGCTCCCCGGCCACCAGAGGAGGGTCCCACATGGCGCGCAAACCTCTCCTGCCGCCCTCTGCTCCCCTCAGCAGTGTACTTCAGTCCTTCTGCCTGCTCTGCTCCCCGCTCTGGCTCTGGTGAATTCTCTCACCCTCCCGCGCTTCTGACTGTACCAAGTGCATGTATAAACAAAAAACAAATAAATAAATAAATAAACATGCCTCTTTTAAAAAAAAAGTGGGTTAAAAAATGTTAAATGATAACACCAGCTTAAGTAAGAATCAACTGAAAGTGAGGAAACACCCAAATTTAACAACTCCTCCCTACCTCACTAAGGATATCATCTTAGGTCATTATATTTCTTAGAATCAATGGATTTATTTTCTTGTGTAAGGAAATACAAGACAGCAAGTGGGTACTGGGGATGTATGGTAGAAACTGGCAATAAGAACTTGGGGAAAGGAGAAGGGTATAGGAAAGAGAGATGGTATTAAAGATAAATGAATCTACTATAGATAAAAATAATAAGTTGAAATCTTGTGATAAAAGTCAGCAACTTTAAGGCATCCACGAAGATAAGAAATGATTTTCAATTATGGTTGAAATTAATTGTTCTAGTGAAAAATGTCAAAATCATCTAATAAGATGATATAAGCCCTTATGAAAGAAAACTAGAACATTTTAATTGAGCCAAGCAAGCTTATAAAACCTGAAGTTAAACAATGATTATTCCTACTCACAGTTATAAGACTAAAATCTCAATGAGAAAGGCATAAAATTATCAGTTAACAACACTTACTGAGGGCCTATGTGTACTAAGTATTATGGGGTGATGGGGTAAATATGAAGGTAGAAAAGAATACCAACAAACTAAAAGGCAAAATAAAATTTCTGCCCTCTAAGAGCTCACAATCTAATTGGTGATATGATGTACAGGCATAAAAAAGCCTTACAGCAACATTACAAATAAGTGCAAATAAATATAATCCAAACAAATCACAAAATGAGAATAAATGATAAAACTTAAGAAAAATGGATGATAATTAGTATAATTTATTCAATAGAACCAAAAAGTATTTGTGAGTTCTCATTAATATGTCCTTATAGAACTCCTAGCATTTAATTTCTATGTCCAATAATCATTCTTCCCAAACCAGAATGTGTTACCAAAACAATGCCTGGGTGAAAGTCAGTCTTTAGTTTCCCTTTTCCTACTAACTATATGGCATTCTAGAACAACTACCTTTGTGAATCTTATAAAAACAAATCTTAAGTTATTCTAAATAAATTTTAATTACTTTTAAAGAGTTTAGGGAAAAAATTAGGTTATATTGAAAAATATTTCATGCATATTATAAAATCTAATATACCACACATTCAGTTCATAATCAGTTTTGATAGAAAAGAAGAAAGCTCCACAAATACTATTAAACACTATAAGCAGGCAGAAAATAGGCCTAAAATTTTGCAATTGAACAACATACTCTGATAGCATGCATAGGCAGGGCTGCATGCACACAGGTAGATTCTGAACTTTCACAAAATTAAAAGCTCAGAAGTAACACAGTTAACAAGGAATATATGTTGAATCTGTGTATTTAACATAAAGCAGACAAATTTTCACAAATTATTATTAAATATAAATTTTAAGCCTCTCAGAAAAAATTTCAGTAACAGCCTTCCTATGCTGAATCAGTAGTGAAATAAACTTATCTTCTTGTGGAGGAGACCAATCCCTTCGTGGCTTCCCATATAACAAAAAGGCTGATCATATTGGTACCAAGAATAATAAAATGATTTCAGATGAGAAACTGGAAATAATTCTTTTCTGGGAGTGTTTGCCATATGTAAAGTCTTGAGGCATTTTAAACAATTCAATTCTAAAATTTCTGAAGTTCCTGAGTTTTGAATTGTAACTACATCAATAAGACATATAACTAACAATTAAAATAATTTAGAAATGACTTATTTACATTTCTAAAAATGCCACTATCACAAAATGGTTTGAAAATAAAATTGAAAAATTGGACAGAACCTCTTTCTATTAAGATTTTGCTGCTAAGTAGGGAAAATTCTACACAAATTCAACCATAAAATTTAAGTGGTGGGTTTCACGGTCACAGCATGGAAGCCAGGCCCACGCTCACCTTGGACGTCTTCCTCTCCACCATCACCATCTTCTTCCTCATTGTAAGCCAGCTCGGCCTGCTTGTCTGCCTCATACTCACCTACGTTACCATCATCCCCATTATAATCCGCCAGTTTAGAGCCATGTTGCGGATCAACAGGGGATTCATTCTCATCAAAGAATCGGCCTGTGAAGTAGGTAGAGGATTAATTCAAAAGTAAAGAGAGTAGGAAAAAAGGGACCTGGAGACAGACCAGAAAAAGTAGACAAGTGAAACCTGGCAATTTTCAGGGTACTGGTGATAACAAAAAGATCCATTTTGTGAAGATTATCCAAGATAAAAGGAAATCAGAATGAAGACTGAAAATAATCTTTATTTCAGACTCTTTTGCGTTAATTTTAGTACTTGCCACTTAAGGACTGAATATATTCTTGAAGAAAAGTTTGCCATTTTCAAGACTGTTTTGCTAATAATGACTTCTGATAAAAGCATTTCCCTAACATTTTAAGAGAAGAATAAGTACTTGCATCACTAGATATAATACATATTGAAATTAGTGCTTTTCTGTTGCTTTATTAAATACCACTTTCCATAAATAAATTTTATAAGTAGTTTTTAAATAAAAATAAGTACTAGGAATGCTAGTTTCTTTGTTGGACACTAAGACTAACATACCTGAGGATTAGCTCACATTCCTTCAGTAACAGTGATTCACTAGGATTTCCAAGGAAGGAGGGTAGAAAGAGCAAACTATCAGAATCTGAACTGGGAATGTGTTTTGAAGAAACACCCTTAATAATTCTCATGTATTCTTTTTCATTTCCTAAACCAGATTTTTGAAAGTCAGTGATATAGGAAAAGTTGACCTACAGGTGGCCATTATATGGTACAAATTCCTAACAATTAGAAATGAAGGAGAAGAACAATAGACATAACATCTACTGGAGAAAGCTATGCAACAATTAGACACTGAAAATAAAAGTGTAAGGCACACTAAGATCTGATTCAAAAATACAAGTTAAACTCTACTTGACACTAGTAAATAGTGTCTTGTAAAGACACTACTTTACAAGTAAAAATTAATTTTATTTACTTTCCATGAATAAATTTTATAAGTAGTAAAAATAATAGTAGTAAGAAGTAAATTTTATTTCAATCCCTAAAACTAACACACTTAGAAACTTAAGACCTAAAAATTATAAAAACTTTCTGTGATAGGTTAAACTTTTTACAATTATATTTTTATAATTTACACTGCATTTAGGACATTTAGGGGGAAAAAACACCTACTTTTGCTTGCAAAGAAAGGTTAAGTACAAATGGAAAGAATTATGCAGATATTAGTCAATTTTACAGATGGCCTGCCACATGATGAGGTCAAAATACTTCTAATTGGTAGATAGAGTCAAGCGGGAAAATAAGGAACAAATCACACTTACATAGACTTTTAAGGGAGTAGGGTATTACAACAGGACATAGAAGTAATTGGGACCAATAAAATGAGCATCTATTCTAAAATAAGATTGGGCATATATATTACATTAATATATGAAGTTGGTGAAACAAAAGAAATGGATATGCAAGAGTTGAAAAGGAAAAACAAGAATAGGTAGGCTATTTGAGAAAAAGATAACTTGTCTCTTAAAACAGTAATGCAAAACAAAATGTTCTGGTGGCTTTTGTTTTTTTTTAACTATAAATGATGCCAACGTAAGCAGGAAAAAGGGAGATTTATGGAAATCTATGTTTTCTTTTTCTTAATATGCAGTATTTACTCTGGACAAATCAGCTGGATCAATTAATCTTTATGCAAAGATTAATTAGTTACCAGTGAGTTCCTCAAAGTATCCTATTTTTTTCCAAAAACACTTGGAAAAAATTGCATTTTTCACATCAGAGTTATGAAATAGAGAAAACTAAACAATTAGTCTAAAACTTACTGCAAAATATAGTTAATTAGTACTATCAGACATGGTACATTAACTAAAGAAATGGCCCACCTGCACCTATTATAGTACTTCAACATAACCATTTATAAAGTTTCTTTTTCTTTTTTGAGGCACTCAATGATATGACTAACCCGAATTCAGTCATAAAACTTAAATACTACAATTACAGTGACACTTAGGTAGTCAGTCAGAAAATCAATAACAAGCACAATATTTGCCCATCTATCCTTTGTTAAATAGCAATTTATGCTATCATATAAATAAAATTTTCAACTATGGAGAAAGATGTAAACTTTAATATTGGGTTTCCAATACTATGATAGACAACAAGATAGAAGGAAAACAGCTATCTTGCCAGTCAAGTTAGGAATATCAGAGGAACAGTGAATGAATATGACGTAAATAAAAATGCGTAATGCTAATCAATATAACAGAATGCTAAATTATATAACTGCTAGATAACATATTTGCAAAAAGCTATACAAGGGAGAAATCAGTGTGGATTAGAACTAAAAGGAAAGTTTTCAAAAAAGAAGTAAATATACTGGACCGTGACAGAGTGAAGGGAAAAGGCATTCAAAGAATTGGTAAGAATGAACATGGAGGGCCCCTCTGGTGGTGCAAGGGGTTAAGCACTGCACTGTGAAGCAATCCGCAGCCTCTGCAGCACAAGTTCGATCCCTGGCCAGCCAGGGAGCAACCCACATGGCGCAGCAGATCTCTTCTGTCTCACCCGCTGCTCCCCTCAGCAGTGTACTTAAGTCAGTCTGCCTGTTCTGTTCCCCACTCTGTCTCTGGTGAATCCTCTCACCCCCCCCAACATCTCTAGCCTGTACCCCAGCTCTTGTATGCATAAATAAATAAATCTTTATTTTTATTATTTTTTAATTAATATTTTATTTTATATAATTCTTACATCATTTTCATTTTTGCACAATGTATGCACTTTCATTTTGGTTATATTCTTCATACAATTGCACCCCCCCTTATTTTGACCCTAATCCTTCCTCTCCCCGCCCCCGTTCCCTCCCCCATAGTGTGTCTCTGGTTTATAGTTGCTTGTTGATTTTGATTTTTAATTTGTATTAATTAGTTTTTTTCCTGGTTCCTTATTTAGGTTTTCTAAATTCCTGCTATGAGTGAGACCATCTGGTATTTTTTTTTTCTTTCTGACTTATTTCGTTGAGCATGATCCCTTCCAGCTCCATCCATGTTGCTGCAAATTGCATGAGTTTATCTTTTTTGATTGCTGAGTAATATTCCATGGTGTATATGTACCACATCTTGATCAGTCATCTATTTTTGGGCATTTGGGTTGTTTCCAAAGCTTAGCTATTGTAAATAGTGCTGCTATAAACATAGGGATGCAGGTGCCCTTTAGAATTAATGTTTCTGTGTCATTTGGGTAAATACCTAGGAGTGGAATTGCTCGATCTCCCATTATCCACTTTACAAGGTTATTGTTAGAATGAAAGGCAAAATATATTAAATTATCTACAATGTTCTTTCATCCATTGAGGCAACAAAGATTCACTGATGTATGTGACGGATACTATGACACAAAAATAAATTCGCCATCTCCATCTCCAGTATCTCAGTGTAGTAAGGAAGTTAAACATGTAAACAAATAATTAGAAAGCGATCCTTTGTATGTTGTAACCACAATGATCTAGAAAGTGATATTCGAACATGGAGTCTATTGCTACTGTTGGTTTCCATTTGACAGATGAAGTGTGCACTTTGTAGGAGGCATTAGGTATTAGTCATGATTTTTTAAAAAATATTTTATTTATTAATGCATACAAGAGCTGGGTATAAGTCAGAGGTGGGGGGTGGGGAGGAGTGAGAGGATTCGCCAGAGACAGAGTCAGGAGCAGAACAGGCATACCCACTGAAATACACTGCTAGGAGAGCAGCGGAGGAGACATAAGAGTGTCTGCTGTTCCATGTGGGTTAGCTCCCTTGCCGAGGATTGAACTCATGCTGCAGTAGCTGGTGATTGCTTGACAGTGCTGGGTCTTAACCCCTCGCACCACCAGGGACGCCCTATAGTCATGATTTTTTTTAAAGCTCTCTGAGAACAGGTTGAATCTGCCTTAAGTACCACAGTATCTTTGATGTCTATTCAGGTAACAAGCTATGAGAACTAAGACTAGGAAGATATCAGAATAGGTAAATCAAGTTTATTTTGAAATGATAAAGTGAATATATAGCATAAGGGGGTGGGAAAGAGTCAGGAATGATTCTATAATTCTGTACTAGAAACTAAAAATAAATAATAGTGTCTAGCTCCAAAATGGAATAATTGGGAAGATAAGGGAAAGCAAATGCCACTTTAGGTATACTAAGCTTATGATTACACTAAGACATCCAAATAAAAATGTTTCATAGACAGATGGAAATATGGACTAGATTCAAGGTGGAAAGCGAGGGCTAGATGTATAGAGTCAAACTCATAAATGTAAAGGTAAGTTAATTATGAGATCATTTCTTTTAGGAAGTTTTTACAGAAAATGCCTAAGTGAAAGAAATGCTTTTGGGGGATGACTACAAGAAGGGGAATAAAGTAACAAAGGTGAAGTTATCCCCTGATGTGTTTCAATAGGATTTAAATATTTGACTTCATCACTGAAACATTTTATCTACATAATGATTTTTAATTCAGTTCTATCTCTCAGTAACCAGAATACTAAAGCTGTACCCAGCTAAATATGGTAATTATATTTAGTTTGGACTGCTCAAATTTCCTTAAATTATAGCAAAATTCAATTGTGCACTTGAATATTATTTATAGTGGCTGGTTGAAAATGATTAACTTAGACTCTTTAGTAACAAAATAATTTTATACCAACAATTTATTTATTTTTTTTTTATGTTGCTTGATTTTATTTATTTCTTTTTTTTATTTTTTTTTTGTCTTTTCCTTACTTTATTTTTTTTTTATTAGATAATAAATTTTACTGTTATATTCCCCATACAATTGCAGCGCCCCCATTCTGACCCCAATCCCTCCCCTCCCGCCCCTGCCCCCCTAAAAGTGTCTCTGGTTCATAGTTTTTTGTTGATTTTGATTTTCACTTTCTTATAGTTATTCATTTTCCTGGTCCCTTATTTAAGTTTTCTAGATTCCTGCTATGAGTGAGACCATCCGGTATTTTTCTTTTTCTTTTTGGCTTATTTCGCTGAGCATGATCCCTTCCAGCGCCATCCATGTTGCTGCAAATTGCATGTGTTTAT